AAACTAATTCTCGATATACATAAAAGGGTCTATGAAATGTCTCCTACCACTCGATGATGTCGTAATCCAAGTCGAATCGCGTGCCTCTCACATCTGGTAGGTAGTTGGCAAGTGCATATCATTCACTTCATCCTCCTACGTTGATGACATATGTATGGGTGTATTTGTGGGTTGATTATTTCTTATTAGATGTACATGAATTATGTTTATTTTCAAGCGATAGATCAAATAACCAAATGCTGTTTCATTAAAAGCAATTAATTACGATTTTAACAACAAAATATTATAAGAAATAAATACACTCAGAAAAATTTTATATAAAATTACACACTAGACCATTGGTTATTTTGATTCCACAGTATGTAATGTAAGATTACATAATTCAAGCATGTAAATTTACATTTTTTTTTCCCGTAATTAACGTAAAACGTAAATTTACAAATCGAGATACAGTGGAGTACATCTTACGTTTATTTACAATAATCATACTCCTTTAAGATATTTGGAATTTTTACCACATTCTATATCGAAAAAGAATTTTTTTATTGAAGAAGGCTGTTTTATTTTTAAATATAAGCATGCATCAATTCCTTGTTGTAAACTGTTACGGAATCGTCCTCCTTTTATTGCTTCTCGGATTATACGGATTTTTTTCGGCACAAGTTCTATAATTCTGACCATTTACATAACCAGATATATGCACCCATGCATCATCGGAATAAAACGTCGCGTCTAATAAATTTATCATTGTTTAAATGAAGCTAGTGAAGTTGCAGTTTTGAGACAAATTCATCTTGATCCTACATTAAGTACGAGGCAGCTGGCATCTGTGTCTGGGATCAATCGAACTAGCATACAAACCATTTTGAAGAAGAATAAATTCCATCCGTTCAAAATACATTTAGTCCAGGAACTTAATGAGGATGATTATGACCGCCGTTTGCAATTTTGCGAAACATTGAGTGAGCAAGCAGGGAACGATCCACAGTTCCTTTTTAACATCTGCTTTTCTGATGACTGCAGTTTTTTCTTGAACGGGACGGTAAATCGTCACAATTGCCGCTATTGGTCCGATTCAAACCCAAGAGTTTTTCACGAGGTGCATACACAGCAACCGGAAAAATTAAATGTATGGGCTGGAATTTTCGGTGACCGGTTGGTGCGTCCTTTTTTTCTACCTGGTAATTTGACCGGCCAAATGTATTTGCAATTACTGGAAGATCATTTGATTTTTGAACATAATTTAATTTTTTTTCAAAGCATTGGGCGGAATTATAAAATTTAAAGTCTGTTGTAAAGAGAATAGTAAGAGCTTTCAAAAGAAATATTACTCAACCCCCAATGTCATTTAAATATTTTGGGGTGATGCTTACACTTGCTTGGGGTGAAAGTGAGCAAAGAATGTCCCTCTTTATTCTAAAATCGGTGGGTCAGAGCGTTTTTCTATAATCTTGACGCAGTTCGTGAAAATGGCTCTGTTTCTTTTTCATTTGGCCACCCTGTATTTTTTTGTATTAAGATGTGTATTAAAAGGGAGCTTAATATTTTGTAAAAGGTTGTAGTATGTAGAGTTTGAAACCTTTTCGCCAAGAGGATATTTTTCCATAAGCTGTTGCATCTTCTTTTAAGTTCAATTTTGTCAGGAATAAATATTTAATTTGGTGCCTTTTATTTGACCCTTCTTGATGGAAAATGCAAAACAGACCAGTTTTTGGTTTCTAATAACAGGTAATACTGACAAGAATGCCTTCAAACATACTTTGACCCAAATTCCTATGCTGAGTTATTTGTGCCATTTTCTTTCTCTACTGACCATCTGTAGTCTGATAAAATTAATTTCGAATTTTTATCACAAAGGTGTGTCAGTCTTGTGCCCTTTTTGTATAAAATACGTTTACTTCCCACAAAAACTCGATTTTTGGGTCAAAATTAACTCGTATTAGGGAGCAGAAAAAATTTACAAATTCTTTTAGTGACTTTTGAAAAGCTTAATTTCGTAAATAGGGCCGTATCGAGAAAAAAAAAGAAGCTCTTGAAGTTTGAAAAAAATACAATTTAAAAAAAAATAAATTTTACAATTTTTTTTTCGTTATCTTATTTACAATTTCACATTGAATATTTCAAGTGTTCAAATATTGACATTAAAAGAAAATTTAATTTTGAATTTTTTTTTTATTGCTTTCAAAATATTCAGAAAATTATACTGAATCATTTCAATTCGGTTTTGATGCGATTTTTTTCTTCACATGCTGTATTTCATCGAGTTAAAATTAATTACATTAATTTAAGTTGATACCCACAAGTGAAACTTCATGAATTTTTTTATACACATCGCTATACGATTTATTGATCCTTTTTTCGAGAGTTGTCAAGCCTTTAAAAGAACGTTCTTTTTTTAGTTCTTTTCAAAACTATCAATTTTTCCATTAAAAATCAAAATTTGAATTTTATTAACAAATGTGAAAAAAATAAAAAATTTGATTTATTTTTTAAATTTTGAATTTTTATTTCGATGTTTAATGAGTATTTAAAGACAAATTGTGAGAAAAATAACGCACAAAATTAATTTTTTTCATGTTAATCATGATTAGTTGATGTTTAAGGAGCAATAAACCTGCTCTTTAATTTTTTATAAAATTTTGACGATTCAGGAAAGGGAAACGGTTCTTCCCTCATGGGCATGATACAACTAAAAAAAAAACAACAAATACGAACATTATTCACGAGGTTACAGCTTTTCAAAAATCAGTAAAAAAATTTGGAAATTTTTATGCTCCCTTAATTTTTTTACTGAGTTTATAATATACAGGGTGATCTACTATTAAAAAACAACAAGAAACATTTTTCATTCATTTAACGTAACAGTACCTGAATGTAACATTATCTCTACAAAAAACTGCCAGTGGCGTATTTTTTTCTTAGGAAAATGGGGCGGCACCTCCAGTAGCACGCCACTGGTTAAAGCCAGGGGGTTAATATTGCATTCATTTAAAAGTTTAATTAAGTGAATACGCTGTAGTGAATTTCATTCAATTCCGTCTAATACAGTCATTGAAGCTGAAAGTCAGCTGTAACCTCCGAATTCTTTGAAACTGCATGGATTTGCATGAAGATTTAGAATAAGGCTCATCTTAGGCTCAAGTTCAAAAGTGACGATTGACGCTTTTGTTTTAGGGGTCACAAAAATTGAAAAAAATTAAGTTTTAAGCAGTTTATTAATAAAAATCTTGTTCAAGCACAAAAATTAAATAATGTTCCATGTTCTCGAACATGTTTTATGATATATTTGACCTTTTCGATCCTTTATTTAACCCTAAAAACTATACTAAAAATAATGATAAAAACTTACTTTTCAAAGATTTGGAATGATTAAATCGTGCAATTATTTAAAATAAAAGTTACCTTATAGCTAATAAAAGAATGTTTCCCTTTCAACCCATAAAAAAACACCCATTGACAAAAATGATAAAAAAAACTACTTTTTAAAAGCTTGGAATGCTTTAACGGTGCAATTATATAAAATAAAAATTCCCTCATTGCTTATGAAAGAATTTGTATCTCATAACACTTTTCAACCCTTATAAATCACCTCTGTCCTAAAACAATGATAAAAAATTACGTTTTAAATCTTGGAATGCTATAATTGTGCAATAATTTAAAATAAAAATTCCCTTATATTGTTTATGAAAGAATATTTTACTTTTGCCATTTTCAACTCTTATAAACTACCCTTTTACCAATATTAATGTAAAATATTTTTATTATAATCGATTTTTAAATATAATACAAATAATACCTAATCATAAAAAAATTGCTACGCTGCATATAAATAATCACACTAATTTTTTTTACTTATTTTATTTGTATAATATAATATATAATACATATATAAAAATGAGAAAGCCTATTTTGCTCCGAGAAAATGTCATTGGTTTTTTTACCAGAACTCGGTTAATTTTGTAGCTATAGTATCCTACAAAAAAGTATTTTAAAGATAATTTCAAGAGCTGTAAGATTGCATATAAAACATTTTAAGTCCTTCGTTTTTCAAAAGGAAGGGAAAGGATTGAAGGGTTCGAGACAGGTCGTTTTTTCAATAAAATGGTTACTTCAAGCGGCGATATCTCCTTTATTTTTTATGCTATAGGAATAAAAAAGCAAAGTATTTACTGAAAAAAAGCTATATTTTTGTTGTTTATCATTTTTTACGAATCTTTCATATTTTCAGAGTTATTATATAAATAAGGCAATTTTTTTGAATAATGAAAAATACGTTTTCAACTTTTAATGTACATTATTAAATAAATACGCATTTTAAACCGGTCTAACTTCAGGATCGTATGAAAAACACTAAAACAAAAGTAATTGTAAAGGGTCTACGATTAATTTTAATTCTAATAGAAATGGTACAGCGTTTACTGCTCATTTTTCCTTAAAAATTATGAGCAACCCATCTATTTTTGACAATAACTTCTTCAATTTTGCTATAATTAACTTTTATAAGTGCTCATTTTGAAGGTCTTTTAGAGTAGGTAGTACAAAAAACTCCAGGAGCGTTATACACGTAAAATTAATCCTTTTTCCGTTATTTGACGTTGAATACATCGATTAAAGGAAAGGAAGGGAATACTCGATTCGAGTATTCCCTTCCTTTCATATACAACTGTTTCAGAATTATTTTTAATACGATGCTGTGCTATATTTTGATAAATTCACATGCCACATCTTCTGGATTTTATAAATTAATAACATTTCTCCAATTTTCATAGCTAACATCATTTTCTGGAATTTCATAATTTACAATCAAACTGGCTTCTCAAAAAGTGTGTCCCGATATTCGTCTGATTGTGAGAACAGCCGATTCCGACGTCCACCGGACCACGGCGCGAGCGACCCGCTCGCGAGCCTCGCGTAAATCACGCCGCAACCGGCTAGAGTGGGAGAAATTGAGAGCTTGGAACTTTGAGCGCGCCAAGTGAGCGATAGTTTCCACGTTCCCATCCAAAGCTCAGGACTCGAACCGAGGTACCGAGGCTCGATCCTTTCGCGCGCTTTCGACGACGTACCGAAAAAATCCCTCTTCACTCCACGCGGTTTTTCGCGCCGATCGACGTTGGCCTGGTGTGTTCTGTGTTTTGATCCTGGTGCGATGACTCGTGTCCCGAGTGAGTAAAGGCAGGATAATGAGGCGCAGGAAGGGGTCCAGGAAGAGAGCCATCGAGAAAATGGAAGGTGAGTCGGCATAGTGTCCCAGAGAATGTTATTACGTTGGAATTATGTTGATCGGGAGGGTATAAATAGAGATTATCTGTCGTGACCCGACCCCGCGATGTTTTTTTTAATAACTAGGAGATAAATAATTGAAACAGTGGCGTAAAAAATAAACGCGAGATCACGTGTTGGACGCTTTATATTAATTAGACGGCTATAAATTGGTAGAAGTTGAGAAAATTTGGAGATTTCGCATTGTTTTCGACGAAATTTTTAAAAGCCCCGAGACATTTTTGTACTAGATTAATCATAGCTTTAAACTTTATTCCATTGTAAAAATTTGTTACATTTTATCAGTGAAAATCTGCAGAGAGCATTTGGTACATATTTCACGGAAGTTTTGAATAAAATGGGACTATTATTAATACACAGGGTGTTCTGTGAGTAAATGTATGTATCCAGTTTTGTAGGAGATACAAAACGCCGAGCTGATTCTAAAACATCCCTATATATACCCCCTGAAGTCGTTTGTTACTGATGTATAGACTATTTTCAAATTTTTGCCTATGTTTCAATCAATCGAGTTAAAATTTGGTTCACATATCTGTTGTAGGCGGGTCTATTTGCAAACATATTAGTTGTTTTTTGAATATACGGTGGAACTGAGAAAAATATACCTACAATTAATTATTTAACTATACAGGGTGTCCCATTAATATTGCGAAAAAATCAGGGGGAGTTTCCTTGACCAAAATTAAGAAAGAAAATTCCTATAAACCTATGTCCGAAACTGCTTCGTTTCGGAGATACAGGGTGTTGAAATTTAGAGAAAATACAAGGTTTTTTAATAATATCTGGAGATTAGGGTTCTCCAGTTTCACTAAGACGTTGATGAATATGGGTGACGATGGTATGATGAGGAATTATACGATTAGGGTATTTCTGCTCATAGAGGCGCCTGGCGGCTAATGCATTACCGTTGGCAAGGCCATAAAGAAAATGCATATCGCACATTTTACTATTTGTGTAATTCATTTTGACAAGCAGGAATTGACAACTACACAGTTCAAGTACTTATTAAAATCACACACTTAAGCTATTAATTTTTTGCTCGAAAACGAAGCAAGATATCAAAAAAAGTAAGGAGACAAAAAAGTTGTATTTTTTATCGCATAATTAGAAAAACTTATGACACCTAGGAAAAAGCAGTGACATCTTATATGTTTACTTATTAATATCAACAGGAGAAAGTCCCCGGACGCCGCTTTTATAAACAAACATACCAAATTTCAAAAAAATCGGAATTAGGGTTCTCCAGATATTAGTAAAAACCTTGTATTTTCTCTAAATTTCAACACCCTGTATTTCCGAAACGAAGCATATTCGGACATAGGTTTATAGGAACTTTCTTTCTTATTTTTGGTCTATGAAACTCCCCCTGAATTTTTGGCAATATTAATGGGACACCCTGTACACTTCATTCCTACATTCTGATATAAATCAAAATATGAAGACTTATTTGGGTAAGTTGTATTGAAATATGCATCATATGAAAACGATACAGAAATATTATAATAATCCATTATGATATTGTCAGAAAATTTTCATTCTATTCATCGGGTTGATGATAATAATATATTGCGAAATATCATATTTACAGTAATATTTCAATATCCAATTCAGTTATCTTGCAATATGTGTTTTTTTTATAATGGTTAAACCACATCTATGCTTTTACAGTGGCGTAAAAACTAAAAATTTTGAGAAAATTTCAGGATTTAGTATTGTTTTCGAATAAATTTTAAAAAGTCGAAAATATTTTTACAAAAGAATAATCAAGCTTAAACCTCTATGTTACAGATTCGTTAGCAGTTCAAATCTGCAAAGCAGTATATAATTTCCTTCAATTTGTTACCTATTTCTCGGAAGTTTAAATATAAACTATTATCAGTATACAGGATGTTCCGCATAAAAACTGACACTGAGCAGGGGAACCCAAAATATTAATTTCTGTTTTTATAGCTGTCCAGTTATGGATAGAATATTTGGAGGTATTCTAGTCTAATTAAACCTCATATTTTAGCTGAATTTGCAACTAAATTAAACATTTTTTACGATATAAACTAACTTACCCTCATTCAAAACACAACACTTAGTGGGGTATAGCCCTTTGAATTTAATTTTGCGGTATGACACTCAATAACCTTTATTTCAGTAAACACAAACGTTCTAATAGAGGCCTAAATAGTCAAAATATATTTAATTTTGCTGAAGTTTAGCAAAATAACGAAGTATACCTTTTTGCAAGTAAACAAGTAAGGTGTCATAAAAAATCTCTGTTTTATCAAAATGCCCAAAAACGAAAAATATGTGGCAAAAAACAAAATAAGTTTATATTCATATTCGGCTACCCCAACAACTGCCACAAAATTAAATAATTATTTTAGAATTAAATTCTTTAAAAGCCCGAAATTATTTAAGGAAGCAACATTGCAACAAGGTAACTTGATCTACAGTACAATAATGTTGAGATAGAATTTCAATAAAAGAATAAGCCAATAAAGTTTTGTTATCGGAACTACTGTAACAATTTACCACAGCAGGGGCGTGCCTTGAAATTTTCCACCAATGGCTCGCCAGAGGTCTTCTTGGAATTCAATCTCGACAAATCTCGTACGGACTGTAATTTGTTTTAATTTTACTGAAGGCAGTTACTCCTAAAGTATGTCACATTCTTTAATGGACACCCTGTATAAATACCTTCCATTCCTAGACTCTGATATAAACGAAAATACGAAGTATTCTTTGGGTTACAATAAGTTGTGTTTAAATATGCGTCATGTGTAAATAAGATAGAAATATTAATTCACTATGGTTTTGTCAGAAAATGTTCCTTATTTGATTTCTACTTGATTGAACTCAGACAGCGAAGCAATGACAATAATATTTCATGAAATGTCATATTTACTTTATTTCAATATTCAATTCAGTTACCCAGCAATATGTGTTTTTTTGTCAAGATAAAAACACATACAAATGCTTTTACTATGATAAAACTTCAACAGATTCGAGGTTTGTCAACATAATAATGACCACATATGGTTTTACCGCAATAGAAATTTCCGTGGGCTCAAATTTTGTCAATATAATAATGACCTGATCATTTGCTTGATTATTTTTTGATTCACCAATGGGACTACTTGAAAAAATGTATGTAATAGTAAGGTATTTTTCATTCTATGTCGCGGAGTATATCTTTTCTAATTAGGAGAATAAAGATTAATTGGAGAATGCAAAAACACCTTTGCAATTGTGCCAGATCCGCTGCTGTCACTTATCGTAGCTTTTAGTTCTGGGCGTTCAATGAAGCTGGTGATATAATCGTTTAACAATAAGTTTACTGCGCATGTTGTATTATTGCTACCGTACTAGGACGCCCCCCCCCATAACGTTTAATGGTGGTAATATCGGCCCCTGCATCGTCTAACAGAGTGGCGGAAGAACATCTAAAGCAGAGCCCTGTATAAATTTCCGGATGAGGCAAATTGAGACAAGTGATATTTCTTTTGGCACATTCCTTATTTTGTTGACGCCAACAACTCGGCTAAAATATTTTTCCTTTCACAAAAAATCTTTGTCCACGTACATTTTTATTTATTTAAAAAAGTTACATTATTTCGTACAACATCCAATATTCATGGATTTATCTGTAAATTTGTTACCAACATTGATTTAGGTATATTTCTATCGTAAAAGTCGGTATCGATAACGCTTAAAAACAAAATTATGTTGTAAAGCCAATCGAAAGCAAACGGAAATGCCAAAATATTTACCTCCAAACATTAATCACCACCTTTGTTTTGGCATTTCGATGTAAGGTACAACAAAATGTTTAAATTGTGATTAAGAACTTTGTTACTGATTGTCTGTTACTCGTTTAAGTTTAAAATACATCTCCTCTTCCAATTTTTATTACCTGCTATTTGGAAAGTGTAATATAAAAAATTGTTTAAGTGAAATAGCTGCGATTTCTCTAAAAATTTAAACATACTTTTGTATAGTGTGAATTTTCTTGTTTGAAATGTGACTTGAAGATAATGTGTGTTGTTTTTGTTGAAAATTGAACATATAGTGGAAAGCTTCCTCTCCGAGCAATGTAATTTATAAAAATTAAACAGGTAATTATTTTATCCGAGTTACAACGTGTTCTGTGTGTTAGTTGTCCAATTCCAAACGGTTTATTTGACTTTGGAGGAGATATATCGCCCGTATCGATCTGCGGGGGCTTCTTGGGAGTGGGTTAATTAATTTTTTTCGCCGGCAAACAAATTAAACTCGCTAACTTTTAATTTTTAATTTTAATATGTTTTGCGCAGATATTTCTCGAATTAAGATATCTCCTCCAGGCATTTAATTAAAGAGTAATCTTTTCGATTAAACAGAAAACGTGTGTTTCGTAAAAATAATGATGTTATGGCTCACTGTCGCCATGTAGTTTGCTGATATCGTATAAAACAAGAACTTTCTTCGTACAATGATCTCAGATTCAAATTATAGCTAGGATATTAAAGATCGCTGGAAAAATTTTATGTCACAGATAGTGCAGTAGCTACACTGGGTGATTCAGGAAGAATTTCCGCCACTTATTTCTCAAGCAGTTGCAGGTTAAAGAAAATTACGTAAATTTTTTTGATAAAACGATGGTTTTCCTTGATAAGTAGATTTCTTTTCTGTTCTTTCGCTAGTCACTGCAAATCAGGACTTGTTCTTTGTATTTCACCAGTTATGATGTAGCAACATACAGGTACTATAATCTTAAAATGTCAAGGTGTAAGCAGCTTTAATTTTACGATAGGAATTTTACTCTCAAGATTTTAATTAATTTTTAGGTGCTCTTTGTAATAATATAAACAATTGATGTTTTTCAATATGTTAACTAGATACAGATACAGGATAGCCCATCGAAAACGTACCGCAAGGCATTACAGGGTAGTAAAGAACTTTTCGGCAAAATCCAAAAA